CGAGAAAGATAGTTTTCCACAGACGACGCCACTAATCTTACCGGTTGATCAGAACCTGCAAGGTGGCCCGATGATGATCTTCTGACGGGCTGGAAAGTCAAGGAAGAAAAAGGAGGGTTGTACCTGCAAGGCACTCTGACAATTAAGTAAGTGTGGGAGCAAAGAGATACAAACAAAGTATTAAGGTGTTAGTGACGAATAGTGGATATTCGATACCTGACTCTCATATGAGTGAGGGTTTATATAATTCCCCCGACGCTTGGCTATTTGTCCCTATTTTAGGCTTAGATATGCGGTTCCGCAAAAATAGGTAACTGTCAAAACTTGGTCAAACCAGACAGATGTGCCCGCAACTAACCGTTAGTTCCGAGGAGGGCATAGGTTACGGACAATGGTCAGGTCGGTTTCTGGTTGTCTGGCCGACTTGAGACCGGGAAGACTGAGAGACATTCGTCGACTGTCGCAGGTTAGTGCTGGTTCAGAAGAGCAATTGATCGATGGTACCCGGTGGAAAGCGGGGGAGCCCGAGCCGTAGTCGCACGGGCCGTGCTAAAGGAGGAAGTCAGACTGAACCCACTCTAGTCGTTGGATCCGTCCATAACACATATTATCCCGACATTCACTCCATTGTTAAACTCAATAGCTATAGGGTGAAAGAATCTCTTGGCCACAAGTGAGTTTGTTGTTCTCTTTATTTTAGTTAATGAAAAGATTATTTATCAAGTTAAGAATGATTATTTGCTTCAAGTGAATAGATTTATTTTCATCTTTGACTTTGCTTTTGTTCGAGAATATGACCGTCCTATTGGAGACCCCGTCAACACTTCTTGTCCTTGGTCGTCAAATAGTGTAATTTCACGATTTTGTGAGTAATATATTATACCCCTCCTATCATATATAATCATTTTCCATTGCTCAAGTTTTAATTTTAAATCTTCGCCTAGTTATGTCTTGCCTGCCATTTAATCTCACAGAAAAGGCGATAGAAACAATATTAGATGGCAATGTCTCTTCTGATAAAGGATTTAAGTCGGTGTTACAAGTTCTCAACATCGGTAAACCCAATATTTTAATGTCTGATGGTCTCATCCACCAAATTAATTTGATTGAGCGGTTCAGTTTCAGTAAAATGAACTTATTCTCGATTGTTAGAAGATGATGAGATAATTATTAAGTCTTCAATTATGTTAAGAGTTTGTTTTGGTTTTCTGATTTATTGTTTGTTTTAAATAGGGTTGTTGTAATCCTTGACCTAGAAGTCATACTCCACAAAACGTGACTGATCGGGGACCCTGCTCAACCACCCAATAAAGCACCGTACCTAGGTCTTGCTCTGGTCGAGCCAGATATTCTAAATATTGTTTGGTTAGTCAGCGCTGAAGACTTTCCAAACTATACATTGAAGGAGCCTTCACACGCAGCGCTATGAGTGTAAGAAAGATTTTTTGAGTATAATTCATGCAGGTGTGTGGGGTGCTCCTCCGTTTGTGTTATGGTGCTCTATGGATACTAAGTCACATTTAGTGTGTTGTGGTTGTATATCTTCTTCAACTACCTCGTATTCCGTTGTACTTTTTATTTCTATTTTCCTTGTATCTGAATTTGTGATTCTTCCTTAATAATTGTTTGATTACTATTTTCCGTGTACGTGGTATTTGTGATTCTTCCCTAATATGGTCAGTGTGTGATCGATTGTCATTTACATTTAAGCATGAGATTCTCAAAATCATGAGATTCTTTGGCCTTAAGCATTTTTGCAACCCGGTTTTCTATGTGACAACATGGTAAAGTTCTATTTGCTTGATATTATGAGTCTTCTAACATTACAATGTTTAGTTAATTAATATAGATGTAAGTCCCATTATTTAATATTTTCACAAATCTATAACTTGTACGAACTTAAGTATTATACAAATGACATCTATCTTAACAATGAGTTTTTTTTTTAAAAAAACTTTCTTAACTTGAATTTTATAAGTTATGAAACACAACTCCGACACGTACACCACAACACGACATAAATATTCCGACATCATTAATATCTAAAAGATATGATATCGACACCTCTATATATACGATAGTATTTAAGCTTTATTTATTTATATAATATTAAAAGAATTAAAAATATTTTAATAAAAATTAATCCTTTAATTTTTCATTTATAATATTGTTTCAATACATATTCAAACAATGTGTAAGGTATGTTAAAAACTTTTTTTTATTGAAAAATTTGTCTAAATTGTTCGACACATGTTATATGAGTGTCGTACGAGTATCTGATACCGATTTATGTGTGCAAACTGAATAGGTCTTTGTATGGTCTGAAACAATCTCCTCGACAATGAAAAAGGAGATTCGATAAGTTCAAGACACACATACGTATCACTAGGAGCCAGTTCGACCATTGTGTTTACTTCAGATTTTGACCTAAAAGTTCATTTGTTATTCTATATGGATGACATTCTCATAGCAAGTAACAATGTCGAGGAAGTAGTGAAGACGAAGGTTGAACTTGATAAGGAGTTCGACATGAAGGATCTGGGAGCTGCCTCCAGAATTTTTGGAATTGGCATCCTGAGAGATAGAAAGCAGATCATGAGATTATGTTTATCTCAAGAGACATACTTGAATAAGATTCTCGACAAGTTTGATATATCAAATTCAAAGCATGTTGTATCACCGACTAATTCTCAATTCAAGCTAAGTACGACTCAAAGTCTGAGTACTGAAGCTGAAAGTAAGGGTGCATATGGGTTGGGTAAACCCAACAAACCTAGTCAAATCCACCCAAACTCATCCAAAGAAATGGGCTGGGGCGGGTCATTGGGTAAACACGATTTTCAAAAATGACAACTCATTCAAAATAATTGGATTATGGGTAAACCCACACCCAACCAACAAAACTCATGGGTTATTGAGTGACTATTTTTTAGCTATTTTTTTTGTAATTTCATGAGTGATGACTTTTATGTCTTTAATCTTGGTTACTTCAAATAAAACCTTTTGAACATCTTTTATTTTATAAATAATGATTTTAACATATTTAGGATACCATATTTTGATTATTTTGATGTTAATTCTTGTAAGGTGTAAATATTTTATGTAATTCTAGGTATTATTGTAATGAAACTTAAATTTTTGCAAATATGTTTATTATGAACTTTATTGTGCATTTAAAATTTTTGATGTTTTAAAAAATAACGACAATAGGTTAAACTATTTATTAAGAAAAAATGTGACACAAGGAAAAAAAGAAGAAAAAAAAATGGTAAACCACTACCCAACACAACTCAACCCATAAATTTATGGTTTTACTCAAACCAATCCAATGATTCAGTGGGTGGTTATTTTACCTCACCTAAACCAGTGTACCCTTTATGGATTGGGTCATGGTTTTGGAAAAATTCAACCCAAAGCGATTATTGTACACCCATAGCTGAAAGAATCTATATGAATAGAATTCTATATTAGTATATTAGGTTCTTTGATGTATGTTATGGTCTGTACGTGGCCAGACATAGCTTACAGAGTGAGCCTTATAAGCAAGTATATGATCAATCTTGAGAAAGCACACTGGCAAGTATTGAAGTGGATTCTAAGGTACATAAATGAGTCTCTGAGCAGAGTCCTAATTTATGGTAGAGCATTTGGTGATGATACTAAAGCAGAAATCAAAGGATGTGTCGACTCTGATTGTGTCGGTTGTATGAATTCCAGAAATTTATTTCTGGATATGTGTTCATTTTGTTTGGCACAACAATCAATTGGAAAATGACACTTAAGAAGGTTGTTGCCTTATCAACCACTGAAGTGGAATATATCGCCCTCACTAAAGTTATAAAATAAGCATTGTGGCTTGAAGGTTTTGCTAATTAAGGAGCTGAAACTTCAAGATCGAGTTATCATTGTTTAATGTGATAGTCAAAGTGCAATACACCTATTGAAGAATTCAACTTATCATAAGTGAACCAAGCACATCGATGTCAGACTGCATTTTGTCAGAGAAATAATAGAGTGTGGAGAAGTCTAAGTGTTGAAGGTTTCGACGGAAGATAATGCTGCTGATATGATCACCAAGACGTTGCCAAGTTGCAAGTTTTCCCACTGTATGAAGTTGACAAAACTGCATGAAGAAAGCTAATTTGTTCCCTCGATGTTGTAGATTTTGTTTCAAGGTGGAGATTTGTAAGATTTTGGATTGAACTCTAGTGTCGACAAGGGTGTGGTTCTTGGTTCGACAGAGGTTAAGCATGTTGTCGAAGTCTATTCACATATTGATATCGAAATCATGCATGATGTAGTCAAAGTACACTTAAGTATGCAGTAGTCGAAATTTTAGGATTGTTAGCATGTCGAATTTGATATGTGTTTAAAGTCCAATTGTGTAAGTTAACTTGTAAATTAAGTTAACTTAATAATATATAAATAAATTAGTTCTCTCATGATGTTGAGAGAGATTAATTATTTTTATTCACTTGTAATCTTTGTAATCCTAATTAAATAAGTGAATAGTAAAACAATTTTTAATCAATCTTATATTTCTTCTTCTTCCATCTTTTCTCCCTTCGTAAAATCTTAATAAAATTTCTTGTATTTATTCAAAAAACTCAATATTTTTCTTAATTATGGTTTTTCTTTGACGATTCTCTGCTACAATGTTGTCTTTGATCTCTTTGTAAATACCATATTCATGGGTTTTGTTTCTATTCATGAAATTTGGCCTTTCCTAAAAAAATTAATTGGATTAAATTTAAAAAACTAAATAGTAACCATCAACAATTTAGATAAAGGGCATGAAGAGAATAATTAAGATTTTTCTTCTTCATATTTATGCAATTTATTACTTAGTTGACTCCTTGATGTAGATAATGGACTTTGGGTGGGGGAAAGTGGTTGACAATCCCATAATTCGGTGTATAATGTTAATGTCCCTCCAATTCCAAAGCGTAAGAATAACTAAGTAACAACCGTTATTCAAAGAATGAGTGACAAAACTGAAGATGCATTTGCATTACAGATTCCGAGCAACTCCTGTTCTCAAGAATCGTCTCACCCAACGCGCTCACCTCATTCACTCTCATTCCCACTCACACGCTTCCTCTCTTCTACCTCAATGGTTTTCCATCCTCCGCCACGCCATCTCCCACTCCGATTTACTCCTCGGGAAACGCACACACGCCCGCATTTTAACTTCCGCCCACAACCCCGACCGTTATCTAACCAACAACCTCATCACCATGTACGCTAAATGCGCCTCTCTTTCTTCCGCACGTAAACTGTTCGACATAACGCCTGACAGAGACCTCGTCACTTGGAATGCCGTTCTCGCTGCTTATGCTCATACCGAAGAGCTTCACGAGGGAGACAAAGCTCATGAAGCCTTTCACCTCTTCCGTCTTCTCCGTCAATCCGTTGTGCTCACCACACGTCACACTCTGTCTCCTCTCTTCAAGTTATGCCTCCTTTATCCTTCTCCATCCGCTTCCGAGACCATTCATGGTTATGCTGTTAAGATTGGGTTGCAATGGGATGTGTTTGTTGCTGGTGCTTTGGTTAATATATATGCTAAGTTTGGAAGATTTAGAGAGGCGCGTGTTTTGTTTGATAGGATGCCTGTTAGGGATGTGGTGCTTTGGAATGTGATGATGAAGGCTTATGTTGAAATGGGTATTGGAGATGAAGCATTGGTTCTTTTCTCTGCGTTTCATCGAAGTGGGTTGCGTCCTGATTGTATCAGTGTTCATACTATTCTCGTGGGGTTTGGTAAAAAGACTGTTTTTGAAAGGGAGTTGGAGCAGGTTCGAGCTTATGCAACCAAGTTGTGTATGTGTGATGATGATTCTGATGTTGTTGTTTGGAACAAGACATTGTCTTCGTGTCTCCAAGCAGGTGAAGTGTGGGAAGCTATTGATTGCTTTAGAGAAATGATCAAATTGCGTGTACCTTGTGATAGTTTGACTTTTCTTGTGATTCTCTCTGTGGTTGCCAGTTTGAACCATCTTGAACTGGGAAAGCAGATTCATGGTGTTGTTATGAGGTTGGGATGGGATCAATTTGTCTCTGTTGCGAATAGTGTTATTAATATGTATGTTAAGGCTGGTTCTGTTTACTATGCAAGAAGTGTGTTTGGTCAGATGAAAGAAGTGGATTTAATATCATGGAACACTGTCATATCTGGTTGTGCTCTGAGTGGTTTAGAGGAGTATTCCTTAAGGTTGTTCGTTGATTTATTACGGAGTGGACTGTTGCCGGATCAGTTTACCATTGCGAGTGTTTTGAGGGCTTGCTCATCTCTTGAAGAAAGCTACTGTCTTGGTAGACAGGTTCATACCTGTTCTTTAAAATATGGGATTGTCTTAGATTCATTCGTTTCAACAGCTCTAATTGATGTCTATTCTAGGAGTGGAAAGATGGACGAGGCAGAGCTTCTTTTTCATAACCGAGATGGATTTGATTTGGCATCTTGGAATGCTATGATGCATGGGTATATAGTGAGTGATAACTATCATGAAGCCTTGAGGCTATTTGGTCTAATGCATGAAAGTGGAGAGAAAGCTGATCAGATTACTTTGGCGAATGCGGCTAAAGCTTCTGGGTGCTCGGTGGGGCTTCAACAAGGGAAGCAGATTCATGCCGTTGTTATAAAAATGAGATTCAATTTAGATTTGTTTGTCGTTAGTGGTATTCTAGACATGTATCTAAAATGTGGAGATATGGAAAGTGCACGTAAAATATTCAATGAGATCCCTTCGCCAGATGATGTTGCTTGGACCACTATGATTTCTGGGTGTGTGGAAAATGGGGAGGAAGAGCATGCTCTTTTTACATACCATCAGATGAGACTTGCTGGGACGCAACCAGACGAGTATACCTTTGCTACCCTTGTCAAGGCTTGCTCTCTCTTAACAGCACTAGAACAAGGGAGGCAAATTCATGCAAATGTTATGAAGTTGAATTGTGCTTTTGATCCTTTTGTGATGACCTCCCTTGTTGACATGTATGCCAAGTGTGGGAATATAGAAGATGCATATGGTTTATTTAAAAGAATGAATACTAGGAGTGTTGCCTTGTGGAATGCCATGATAGTAGGATTATCTCAACATGGAAATGCTAAGGAAGCTCTCAATTTTTTCAATAAAATGAAATCTAGGGGTGTAACGCCAGATAGAGTTACTTTCATTGGAGTCCTTTCTGCCTGTAGTCATTCCGGTTTGATATCTGATGCCTATGAAATTTTTTATTCGATGCAGAAAAACTATGGAATAGAGCCTGAGATTGAACACTATTCTTGTCTCGTTGATGCCCTTAGTCGTGCAGGGCGCATACAAGAAACCGAGAAGGTGGTATCGTCAATGCCTTTTGAAGGTTCTGCTACAATGTATAGAACATTGCTTAATGCTTGTAGGGTTCAGGGAGACAAAGAGACTGGAAAACGCGTCGCAGAAAAGCTTTTTAGCTTGGAGCCATCTGATGCAGCGGCTTATGTTCTTTTATCAAATATTTATGCGGCTGCTAACCAATGGGAAAATGCAGTGAGTGCTAGGAATATGATGAAAAGAGTAAAAGTAAAGAAGGATCCAGGGTTTAGTTGGGTAGATATAAAAAACAAGGTGCATTTATTTGTTGCTGGGGATAGATCACATGAAGAAACTGATTTGATATATAATAAGGTGGAGTATGTTATGAAGAGGATCAAAGAAGAAGGATATGTCCCTGATACAGAGTTTACACTTGTTGATGTAGAAGAAGAAGATAAAGAGAGTGCTTTATATTATCATGGTGAGAAGCTAGCAATAGCTTATGGGCTCATGAAAACTCCACCATCGACCACATTGAGGATAATTAAAAACCTTAGAGTGTGTGGAGATTGCCATAATGCAATCAAGTATATATCAAAGGTTTTTGAGAGAGAGATTGTTGTGAGAGATGCAAATCGATTCCATCATTTCAGGAGTGGGATATGCTCTTGTGGTGATTACTGGTGAATATTTTTTACATCAATCATATTCCATTTTTCTCTTAATAATAATATCAGCTAACTTACACCTTCTCTAATAGTGGGTGTTAAGAGAGATTTGGATTGACTGCAGTAAAAAAAAAGTTACACATTTACATGGTTAACATGTTGATACGATAACCATTATATCAAGGTCAAACGGCGTAATGTTAAAATGAGATGATAGCTATCAAGCTTGTTTTATTGAAGGTAAATGAATGGCTTTATAAGTAGCCAGTACAGAAACAGAAAAGGAGTAAAATAAGGACCATGATTTACATGACTAGATCATGGCTATTTCTAGGGAAGAATAAATCAAACAAAGAATCCTATTCCTAAAGAATAGGCTTATTCATAACAATTAAATAACTCTAAGCTTGAATAAGTCAAAACTAACTAACAACACTATTCTAACAAACCCTCCCATAAACTGAAATGTATTCAAGAAATACATTCAGTTTATATCTTCAATGCTGCATATTCCAAGTCTTTCTCTTAATTTCACGAATACTTCACGGTTCAAGGCTTTGGTCATGATGTCAGCTAACTGATCCTTAGTACCACAATGCACTAGTTCAACTTCTCCTTGGTTTGCTAACTCACGAAGAAAGTGAAATCGAACATGAATATGCTTACTCTTACCATGCATAACAGGATTCTTCGAAAGTTTAATCGTTGAACTATTATCACAGAAGATAATGCACTTACGCTGTTTAATCCCCAACCTCTCAAGTACACGCATCATCCAAATACTTTGTGCAGCACAGGCTGCTGCAGAAATAAATTCGGCTTCAGTGGTGGACAGCGACACCACAGGCTGCTTCTTAGAACTCCAAACAACTAATCCATTTGACATCTTAAAAACATACCATGAGGTGCTCTTTCGGCCTTCAAGATCTCCGGCATAGTCACTATCACTGAAAGCTACCAAATTCTCTCCTCTTTCTCTTCTGTAAAACAATCCCAATTCAGTGGTCCCTTTTAAGTAGTGCATAACCCTTTTCACAGCTTGTTGATGCATAGTCGTTGGAGCTTCCATGAAACGAGCCACCGAACTCACAACATACATCAGATCTGGCCTAGTGGCAGTTAAGTACATAAGACTTCCCACCATTTGCTTATACACGGTAGCATCAACCTTTAATCCTCCAACATCCTTTGTGAGTTTGCACCCTGGAACAATTGGGTTATTGACAGATGAACAGTTTTGTAAACCAAACCATTCCAATACTTTATTAGCATACTTTCTTTGACAAATAAAAATGCCACTTGAAGTTTGTGTGACTTCCACACCAAGAAAATATCTCATGTATCCCATATCAATCATCTCAAGTTCCCTTTTCATTAAGATCTTGAATTCTTTGAACATTTTGTCACTATTTCCTGTAAAGATGAGGTCATCTACATACAAATTTACAATCAGAACGTCTCCTCCTCCCTCCTTCTTTGTAAACAGAGTGTGATCGCTCATGCTGCGTTCAAAACCTTCCTTGATAAAGTATGACTCTATCTTGCTGAACCATGCTCGAGGGGTCTGTTTAAGCCCATAGAGAGCTTTCTTCAGTTTATACACTTTATCTTCTTCACCTTTCACCTCATATCCCTTCGGCTGTTCCACGTATACTTCCTCTGTTATTTCTCCATGTAGGAATGCACTCTTGACATCATGTTGATAAACTTTCCATCCTCGACTAGCGGCAATAGACAAAGTTAGTCGAATTGTATCTCATCTTGCCACGGGCGCAAATATCTTAGTGTAATCGATTCTAGCTTGTTGAACATATCCTTTCGCAACAAGACGCGCTTTGCATTTGTCTACTTCTCCTTTTTCATTTATTTTGGTCTTAAATACCCACTTAACACCAATCTTTTTTTCTCCTGTTGGCAAATCTGTTAATTCCCATGTTCCATTCTTCTCAATTGCTGCAATCTCATACTTCATTGCATCCCTCCATACCTGACTTTTGACTGCTTCCTCAAAGGTGGTGGGATCATTTGAAACAAACATGGCAAGCTGCTGCATCTCCTGGGTAAGCTGTTCCACTCCTTCGTTTTCCTCTTCAGACAATCCAACTCCAGATTCATAGTCTATCATCCATACCGGTTCCCTTCTTACTCTCTTTTCAGGAAGATTGATTCTTTCATCTTCTGAATCTTTATTCTCCCGATTCTCTTCATTTTCATCTTCTGAAGCTTTATTTTCCTGATTCTCTTCATTTTCTTCGCACATAGGATCAAGAGAGTTAGTTTCTCCTGACTTCTTCCAATCCCATTTTTCCATTTCATCGAAGACTACATCTCGGCTAATAATGATCTTCTTTGTTTCTGGATCATACATTCGAAAAGCTTTAGACTCCTCACTAACTCCCATGTAGACGCACTTGATGCTCTTCTCATCCAGCTTCTTCCTTGTGACATCAGGAATATGAACATATCCTATGCATCCAAACACCTTGAGGTGTACCACTGATGGTTTCTTTTCTTTCCAAGCTTCTTCGGGTGTCATGTTTTGCAAGGCTGAGGTTGGACATCTATTCAAAATATGAGTGGCCAGGTTTGCTGCTTTCGGCCAATATTCCTTTGGAACATCTCGTGCCGCAAGCATACATCGCACCATATTCTTTAGTGTTCGATTTCTTCTTTCCGCAACTCCGTTCTGCTGTGGCGAGTAGGCCGCAGTGAGTTGTCTTGCGATTCCATTGGTGCTGCAATAGTCATTAAACTCTGATGAAGTGAACTCTCCGCCTCTGTCGGTGCGTAAACAAATTATGTTATATCCCGTTGCCTTCTCAACTGATGACTTGAACCTTTTGAATGTATCAAAAGCTTCGGACTTGGCATGTAAAAAGTAGGACCACATTTTTCGGATGTAATCATCTATAAAAGTAATTATATACCTTTTATGACTGTGAGATTCAGGAATGATTGCACCATATATATCTGAGTGAATTAGTTGTAGAGGTCTAGATGCTCTCCAAGTGACTTTTTTTGGAAAAGAATCATGTTGTTGCTTTCCTTTCATACATATGGTGCACACCTTGGATTGATTCTTCAGTATTGGCAGGCCTTGAACCATCTTTCTATAGGCAAGAGTCCGCAGTCCTTTCATGTTAAGATGTCCAAATCTTTGATGCCACAAGCTTGTGACATTTTTAGAGGTTACATTGAAACATTCTTCCTTTGATACATTATTAGGAACATCGGGAATCGATGCTAGAAGCACAAACATACGATTTGCAGATATCGCAGTTCGTATAATCAGACCTGTAACATCATGATAAAGGCTACAGGAACCATTCTTAATTAATATGGATAGATTTCGTTCTTGAAGCTGACCAATGCTAAGGAGATTTGATTTAAGATTAGGAATGTAAAATACCTCTGTGATGACCATAACCCGTCCATCTATTTTCATTCGAATTTTTCCTTTTCCCATGACAACTAATTTGGAGTCATTTCCTAGCTTCACACTGTGTCAGAATGATTTATCAATTTCAGTGAACCATTTCATGTCTCCACTCATGTGATTACTGCACCCGGAGTCCAGAAACCATACTTCATCTCGTGTGGCTCCTTGCATTTCCACATATGACATAAGAAGCATCTCTTCTCCATCATCCAGCTCTGCATTTTCTACATAATTGGCATAGGTGGGACATTCGTGTTGGAAATGTCCCAGCTTGTGACATCGATAACACTCAACTGTAGATTTATTGAATGCTCTGCCTCTGCCTCTACCTCTGTATCCTCCACGTCCTCTACCTCTCTCGCTGAATCGTTCCTCAACTCGTGAATTTGAACCGTCTCCTGTAACCTTCAATGCTTGTTCAGTCACATCCTTTCGTTTAATCTTTGTATTCATGTACAAGCAATGAGCTGTGCAGTTCATCTACCGTCATCGTATTGATATCATTGGATTCTTTGATTGAGCATACAATATAATTGTACTTGTCAGGTAGTGTACGCAGAATCTTCTCAACGATATGTCTATCCTCCATGGTCTCTCCTGCTCCTCTCATGTCATTTGCAGTTAACATGACTCTAGACATATAATCATTCACACACTCACTATTTTGCATTTCTAGAATTTCGAAATCCCGGCGTAGCCTTTGGAGTTGAGCTCGTTGAACTCGAGCATTCCCCTGATATTTTCGCTTCATTGAATCCCACAGTGCTTTTGAGGTGGATTTGTTGGTGATTGTTTTCAAAATATTTTTGTCAATAGATTGAAACAGATAATTCTTTGCCTTCAAATCCTTTAGCTTTTTCTCCTCCAAGGTTCGACGTTCCGCTGCTGTGAGTGACTCCGGCGTTTTAGGCTCTTCATAGCCTTGCTCCACTAAGCTCCAGTACTCCTTTGATCTCAGCAAATTTTCCATTAGCATGGACCAGTGATCATAATCTCCATCGAACTTTGGGATATTGAGAAGATTATTGCCTTCAGACATGGCTTGCTGTTTCCTCTCTCTCTTTATTTTTTTTCTTACTATCGATCAGGCCCTTGTGTGAGCTCTGATACCACTGTTAAAATGAGATGATAACTATCAAGCTTGTTTTATTGAACGTAAATAAATGGCTTTATAAGTAGCCAGTACAGAAACAGAAAAGGAGTAAAATAAGGATTATGATTTACATGACTAGATCATGGCTATTTCTAGGGAAGAATAAATCAAACAAAGAATCCTATTCCTAAAGAATAGGCTTATTCAGAACAATTAAATAACTCTAAGCTTGAATAACTCAAAACTAACTAACAACACTATTCTAACACGTAATAAGTATAAAAAGTTACACGTTTACACCGTTAACATGTCAATACGATAACTATTATATCAATGTCAGACGGCGTAATAAGAAATGTACTTGAGGTGCACCCGTTTTTCAACGGCGTACTCGTTAGCTTAGAGCATGATTATCGGTTCAAATATATGGTTCCTACACTATTATCGAAGTGCTTGTATCAGAAAAGGATGGATAATTGCATGAAGT